GTATTCCTTCCATCTTCCCGTCAATCTCTCCTCACTTGTTAGAACATTACCATTCCTATCCTTAATAAGCCTAACCTGCTGCACATCCTTTCCAGCCTGATCCCTCTGTCTTGCCAATCGGTGCAAGTCCTTCTCGCCCTCTTTAGTGTCCAGTCTCCCATAAAACTCATCATACGCCCTCTGCTTTGCCTTAGCTACTTCCCTCTTTGTTCTACGTCCCATCTCCTTATATTCCTGTCTCCTCTCTTCAGTCCTCTCACTGTCAAATTTCTTCTTGGCTAATCTCTTTCTTTGAACGGCATCCTGCACTTCACTATTTCACCACCAGGTTTCTTTATCGTCCATTCTGTGTCCAGATGACACACCAAGTACTTTCCTACCTGTCTCTCTAATTACTGTTGCTGTAGTAGCCCAGTCATTTGGATGCTTTTTCTTACTACCCAGAGCCTTTAACAGCTCCTCCCTGAATTTCTCACAACATTCTTCCTTCTTCATCGTCCAGCATTTGGTCTTCTTCTCTGATTTTACTCTTTTTTTTCTTCTACACAACAACAGTCATTCTACATACAACCATCCGATGCTGTCTGGCCACGCTCTCCCCTGCCACAACCTTACAGTCTCCAATCTCCCTCAGGTTTCCTTTTTTACACAGAATGTAGTTAACCTGTGTACTCTTACTCCTTCCTCCACTCATAGGTCACTTTATGTTCCTCCCTCTTTTGGAAATAGGTATTGACTATAGCCATTTCTATTCTCTTGGCAAAATCCACCACAATCTTTCCTTCCTGGTTTCTTTCCTTGACACCTAACCTACCTATCACTTCCTCATCCCCTCTGTTTCCTTCAACCAACATGTCCATTCAGGTCTGCTCCGATCACTACCCTCTGCTTCCTGGGAATACTCTATCACTTCATCCAGATCTTTCCAAATGTATCTTTCTCCTCCTCTTCACATCCAACCTGTGGAACATACCCACTAACGATGTTTAGCATCAGACCTTCTACTTCTACAGTACCTTCAGGCACATCACCCTATCTGACACTCTCTTCACCTCTACTACATTATTTGCCAACTCCTCCCTTAGGACCACCCCTACCCCATTTCTCTTTCTATCCACACCATGGTAAAACAGTTTGAACCCTGCTCCAATGCTGCGAGCCTTGCTGCCCTTCCACTTGGTCTCTTGGACACATAAAACATCTACCTTCCTTCTCTGCATCATGTCAGCCAGCTCTCTACCTTTGCCTGTCATTGTCCCCACATTTAGAGTTGCAACCCTCAGTCCTACATTCTTCACTTTCCTCTTCTCCCTCTGTCTCCTGACACATTTCCCTCCTCGTATTTCACCATTTATCTTAAAATATCGAGATTATTTTAAGAAAATGTTTTGGTCCATATCTCCCTGCCCTTGAACAAACAAATGACCACACAAAACTGTGACAAAAGCAAACATATTATGGATCCATATTCACAAGCGGACATAAAAAAATTATGTTGTAGTTTGGCAGCAAATATGACATCATTCACAGCTTTTATTTTGAAAACTAATTCATAGTGTTTGCTTGCACAACAGAACCATCATTTTGGAAGTGGAGGCTGCGTGACAGCAGTTTTTTACTGCCTGACGTTCTCAGAGTTGGGGCAGGGGCTACATGTCAGACCACCACCAACCACATGTTGTTTTCTGTTACAGATGAAATTCGTGTTAATAAATGGTGTGAAGCTGAGAAGAGTTCCTGGGTGAGTGATCCATCAGTTCACTGGTATCAAACCAAACGTCGGAGTTACATAGGTATGTATTTATGTGTGTATTTAGGTATGTATTTATTTACTGCAGTTTAGGCCCTGTTTACATGGACACGATGGGGGGAAACGTAGGTTTTTTCATATGTTACTTAGAGGAAAAGTTCTGTGTTGACAGGGACAAATTTTGTGTTTACATGCAACCTGAGGAATCTCCCCCTGCCTTCCCGAATCCGCTGTAGTTACCTGTAGTTACCATGCCGGGTCATTAGTTGGCGCTGTGAATTTTGTACATTCACCTAATGTGCATGCGTGCTGCCTCGGCCCGCTCCTTTCCTCTGGGCTAAAAGCTCAGCTAACAACATCTGAAGTTAAAGCTGGATTTTGGATAAGAGTCGACAGATTTTTACGCCAAGCGGGACCGCTTCATCTAACAGCTCCACACCGGTCGCTGAGTGGACCAGAACCGAGTCGACGATGATGTCAAACTTTACTCCGTGATAATCAGCAGTCGATTTAATGCAGGTAAATCAACGTTCTCAATAATGTTAGCTTGTGTTTACTTCGGTTACTAAACAACCAACTGAGTTTTTGTTTTTACTTTTCCTGCGAGGAGAAGCTGTCCTCCCACCAGGTGGGCCGGTTCTGAACAAGCATTGGCCCAGGTGCAGTGCAGGAGGACGTTGAAGAGAGAAATGTCATGTTGGATGAACTATTCATTTAAAATTCCCCTCATTTCTTCTTTCCAATCCATTGAATATTTTAAGCTGCATTAAGCAAAGGAGTGACAGCCTATGGCAAGCCCTTTTAACATAAAATCGAGTAGTCTGACTATCTGTAGTTACATTCTAGATATCTTAAATTGAGTTTTGACTAGGCACAATTACATTTTGACTAGTCAGAATGCTAATTTAAGATATCTTGAATTACATTCTGACTAGTCAGAATAACAATTCAAGATATCTTGAATGACGTCACTTTATTTGTCATTTGAAGGGTCAAACATCCGTAATTACAATTCAAGATATCTCGAATGTAATTATGACTAGTCAGAATGACACTTTTAGATATCTTGAATTAATAAATGACGCCTAGGACCCGCGGCTGCAACTTAGCTGTTCAAACAGCTGCCTGACGAATTTTGAGTGGCTGCAATGGCGCTTGCTGTTCTGGACAACATTGTTAGAAAATGCCACAACTTCCTGTGGCTCTAGTGTTAGTGTTAGACAGTGAGGAAAATGGCTCAGTCTCTGCGCTGTTGCTTTTGTTCAGTTCCTGGTTGTTCTTGTGGGGCAAGAAAACCACCGTATCTGTCCTACCATGCTTTACTGCACTCTCACAGACTGCTTGAGTCACCATAATTAGGCAGTGTCTTACCTGAGAGAAGACTGGCTGGCTTTTGGATTTTTGTATGTGAATGTGAGGCCCATGTTTGTTTGTTTTGCAATTCTTAAGTATTATTCATATTTATTTTTGTTAATTTCATATTTATATTCCAGGTTGAAGGTGACAGTTGAGTCTCGTGTAGGTTCTGTTCCACAGTGTTTACTTGTAAACAAACCCAAGTGTCTTTTCTGTGTATAAATGATGTCCTTGGATGAAAGTCCTAAGGTGGTGTTGCAGTAAGTTTATAAAATAAAAATAACATCCATACCCAAGCTTGTCACATGTATGTAAATTGTTCTAGTGTTACGTAGTTACCGGTAGATAGTTTGTTTTGAATTATTTTAAACATTCTTCAATTAAAACACACTTGAGCAGCATAATGTACTGTTTTTTTATTTGTGGATTGATTCAGTTGAATTGCAAGGAAAACAAGTGCAATTTACAATATCTAGTAAAAACAAAAAACATGTAACTATTTAAGTTAACATTTTATAACTGTACACTATAAATTGATAGTGGATTATAGATATTTTATCAAATTATGTAATAACTATTTACAGTTTTACATCTAAAAAATTAAGTCTGGTCCTCTGGACATTCAAAAAAACAAAAAAAAAAGAAGGTAGAAACGTTTCGTCTTTCATCCGAAAGGCTTCTTCAGTCTGAGGTGCTGCTCAAAGTCAAAGTCACTTTTATTGTCAAAAACTGCAACATGTACAGGACATACACAGGATTGAAATTACATTTCTCTCAGACCCCGGTGCAACAATAACCATTTAACATTAAAACATTTATTAAGCATACGCATAAAATGAAGTAATAAATGGTTCACACATTTACACATGGTTTAGTGTACCCCCTGATCATCTGAGCTGCCAGTGCTGCCAGCAGACTCCTCCTCCGCACTTCCTCTGTAAGCAACACGGAAAGTGTAAACAGCTAGCAGTAAGCCTTGGTTGTCGAAGCTGTACCCACGCATAGTGCCGGTGTTAGCAAAGCTAAGGGTTTGAGGTGCGGGGGGCGTTTCTGCTCCATCTCCGCTAACAGGTTTAAAAAAGCCTGTCAGTTTAGGCATTTTGTTTGTTGCCTCTTTGTCGTGATGCTCTTTTTCTTTTCTCTTTCTTCTTTTCTGCGCTCCGCTGTCATATTTTCTGTTGTCCGCCATTGCAAAATAATATTCCCTGACGCTCCTCCGCAATGCGTAAGATGCGTCAAAAGTGGACCAATAACAAGCAAGCATTAAAGATGGATGTTTGACAGAACAAATTGGAACATTTTTCATCGGTGCTGTCAAAATCATCATAGTCATTGATTAAATTCTGACACTATCAATTCACAAAAACATAAAACATCCTTCGGGGCCCCCGAAATGCCGGGGCCCCGGGATGCAGCCCCGGTAAGCCCCTGCTAAAATCCGGCCCAGCCCACGCAGGACATCTGGACTGCTCCCTGGTTCTGGCCTGTACTTCATGTGACACTTGCAGAGACTGAAGATGCATAAGTTGACCGAGTGTGGCCACAAAACACATGTTGGGAAGACTATGCAGCATCGAAGGAAGAGCAGGGAGGTCTGGAGCCATGTGGTGCAGAATGATGCAACGCAGGACTTCTAAGGTGGGCACTGGTGAGACCTCAGTGAGCCCTGTGGCACAGGCCCAAGTCTGGATGGTACCAGCTCCAAAGCTGAGAGACCATCTCTAGGATAAGTGTGATAAGTGGTTGAGATGCCAGCTGGTGCTGTTTTTCTCCCGATGCCAGGATGTCAGGATCTGGAAGTGGTCCTACAAACACACGAGTGACAGAATCACAATAAGTTTTGACAAAAGAAACATGGACATAAAAACATTAACCCAAAGGTTATACCTGTGAAAGCTCTGTAAAGCGTGGAGTGCAAACATCTTTTCACCACAGTTTTGGGCTTTCGCACCACCACCACCTCGCTGGCAGGTTCAGGATGGATTCCCTTTCAAGAAATAAACATAAAAATATGTCAAACTAAAAAATAAATAAATGTAAAGAGACAAGTGAGCAATTTGGTAGGACACAGTGGGACAGATTTGAGAGTTAAGATTTTTACTTAACTTGCAAATATTACTAATTCGTAGAGGTTGAACCTGCATTTATTCATTACCTACAAAAACAAACAATTCTAAACAAGTTAGGAGAGAAAAATATATTTGACACAAGTAATATTGAGACTATGACAAATTTCACATGGCACTAATAATATACAGGTGGGAAAGTTGTTACAATTATTGTGATGAGAATCATAACCATGTGTTCCACTCTTATTTTATTTTTTTACCTGTGTTCTTTGTCTGTGCCATCTTTGTAAATCTCTTGTGCGGGCCAGTACAGGAGGACCAGTTGGCAGCTGGAGTTGGGAGTAGTGGGCAGTCTGGTAAAAAAAAAGTGCAACTACATGGTTACAAAAACCTTCACCAGCTGCACTTCTACAGAAATAAGCCAACATTTCTTTTTTCAACACCCAGTGAGATCTAAAATAGATCTGTTTTTAGCACACACACACACACACACACATATATATATAATTAATACTTGTTATAACATATTTAGCTTTAAACAAGTAATAGATTGTATAATAGATGGATTCACTTAACACATCACCTTACATATACACAGCACGCTACATACACACATAAACATATGTTTGGCACTAATGGAACCTCATAAAAATATAATTAAAGATTTTATATCATGTCTGTCTCAAACACTCCAAATAATGTAGCACACTAAATTAGGCTTCTTTATCACGATGTTTATGCGCTTCATATGTTGTAGCTAACGGTTAGCTTGCTAAGCTACGTCTTTTCTTACCTTGGCAGCTGAGGAGATTTTCTTCAAGGAAGAACTTTTATCCTTTCAAGTTTATTAGTTCGAGAATTCGCCGCTGCGATTTCCTCCTCAGCAGCGAAAGAAAAGTTGGCAAATTAAGCAAAGATGTTGAAAAGAGAGACATTTCTCCTTAGTGCAAAAACTCGCAAAGCAGGAAGTGTCGGTTTCCGGTTGTCGTGAAAAAGACGTCGCAAAAAAATTCTTCTTGTTGCAGATACAATAAATAATCCGAGCTGCCGCGTTAAAAATCATGTTAAAAATACAAGCGTTGTGTTGGACTGACCTGATTTTGCAGATTATAAAATAAAAAGGCTACAATGCCTTATGATTTTTCCGCCAAAATGCTACGTAAATCTGTGACGTTTTGACTAGTCAGAATAACAATTCAAGATATCTTGAATGTCATTCTGACTAGTCAAAATGTGAATTCAAGATATCTTAAATAGAAAAGCCGTGTACATGATAAAATATTCAAGATATCTTGAATTCATTTTGAGATATCCTAAAAGGAATTTTGACTAGTCATAAGTACAGTTCTAGATATCTTTAAGTTAGTTTTGCCTAGTCGTTATTTGCTATCAAGATATCTACAATTTAATTTGCACTAGTCAAAACTTCATTTTTGATATCTACAAATACATTTAAGATATCTTGAATAATGACGTAATTTAAGATATCTTTAATTGTAATTATGACTAGTCAGAACTAAAAGTGAGATATCTTGAAAGCAAATAATGACTAGTCAAAATTAACTTAGAGATATCTAGAACTGTATTTTTGACTAGTCAAAATTCAGTTCAAGATATCTTGAATTGAAGCCTCCATACAACTCAATGGTAAATCTGACGTCATTATGACTAGTCAGAATGTAATTAGAGATATCTTAAATAGGTATTTTGACTAGTCAAAATGCAATTCAAGATATCTTAAATAACTAATATGTCTAGTCAAAACTCAGTTTAAGATATCTGGAATGTAAGCGTGGTGAATCCGATTTTATGTTAAAAGGGCTTGCCATAGACAGCCTGTTCAAGCCAGAAAAACATGTCGCCAGAATCCAGGATGACAACAGAGAGCATAGTCCAGTTCATGTAGTTTACAGTTCAGTTAATATGTTTTTAATAGTGTGTTCAGTTTAATTATCAGTGTTTGTGTGACATACGGTTTGTGATGTTGAATAAATAAATAAAAATTAAACCTGATGTCTTCATTTTCAACTTTAATAATATGCAACATGTTTTGCATCATTTAAATCATATAACTTGAGTCCAGATAGCTTCATTTAGCTCAGATAACTTCATTATATATCTCCCACACTAACATTAATACTGTTTATTATTGTTAAACTGTTATTATTTAGCACATTTAGTATGTTATAGTGCAGCGCGACACGTGAAATATCTGCCTGCCTCGTTCTATAAACAGCGATATTAGAACTGGATCTGACTGGTGTCTCTTCTGACACAGATGTTGGTCACAGCAGCTGCATTCAGGTGTAGATTAATTAAATATGAGACTCAAAATATATTCCATCAGTCGTAGCTCAGAAAGCAGTGTGTCCGCTGCCATGTTGTTGATAGAAATATGTCGTCTGTCTGCGCGTGCATGTGCGCATGTGGTTTAACACAAAGCCTCAGCGGGAGATGTTTATGTTGTCAGTGGGCGGTCAGTGAAAAACCTCCACTCTGGAAGGTGGGTTCAGAAACCTCCAGATTCAAGGGGGGGGGGGGGGGGGCACTGGTGTCGTGTAAGTGAACAGCAGAACCGCAGAGAGAAAGGAGCAGATTCACTCAAAATATGCGCCGTGTAAACGGTCCCTTAAAGTGAAGTGTGGAGCTGAACTGTGTTAGGAACCGTCTGGATCCTGCAGTGAAGCTGTCCGTGATTCAGACTTGTTGAAAACAAGCTTGCTCTTCTTTTTTTTTTTTTTTTTTTTTTAATTAAACTTTATTTCAATTAGAGAACATTACAAAATTCTTCCAAACCAAAATCAACAAAATACACACAAATGATACAAAACTGTCACAAAACATTAAACTAGACCTCACATTTCTTAACTAAATGTGAATACAACTATCTCGGTAAATATACAAAGATAAAATTCAAGCATAAATAGCAGAGGGTCTGAAACAATAAACCAATAAATGCAATACAAAGAGAAAAAGAAAACTAAACAGCAAAACAACAAAGGGGTCTGCTTATGGGATAAAATTAAATTTCTGAA